CCCACAATTGCTGATGCTCCAGATACTCAACCAGTCTCAAGAAGGCCAGTTTTATTGCTTCTTTAATCAGCACAATAGTTGTCAGCTGTGCTAACATAATTGAAAAAGGGTTTTCTAATGATCAATTAGCCTTTTTAAAATGATAAACTTGGATTAGCAAACACAACGTGCCATTGGAACACAAGACTGATGGTTGCTGATAATGGACCTCTGTACGTCTATGTAGATATTCCATAAAAAATCAGCTGTTTCCAGCTACAATAGCCATTTACAACATTAACAATGTCTACACTGTATTTCTGATCAATTTGATGTTATTTTAATGGACAAAAAAATAGCTTTTCTTTCGAAAACAAGGACATTTCTAAGTGACCCCAAACTTTTGAACGGTAGTGTAACTAAGCTTTTAAGTGTGTATTTTTCTGTTTTTATATGAATAATATTTAATTTGTAGAGCGCATTTCCCACGCTTAATGCACATGTGAAGCTTGTTGGTGCTTGCTTCTGTGCGCAAATCATTTGACCACTGCCATTTGAGATGATTTATTCCCTTTTTTAATTTTTTAATTTCACCTTTATTTAACCAGGTAAGCCAGTTGAGAACAAGTTCTCATTTACAACTGCGACCTGGCCAAGATAAAGCAAAGCAGTGCGATAAAAACAACAACAGATTTACATATGGGGTAAACAAAACAAAGTCAAAAATACAACAGAAAATATATATACAGTGTGTGCGAATGTAGTAAATTATGGAGGTAAGGCAATAAATAGGCCATAGTGCAAAATAGTTACAATTTCGTAACACTGGAAATGATAGATGTGCAAAAGATGATGTGCAAATAGAGATACTGGGGTGCAAATTAGCAAAATAAATAACAATATGAAAAGAAGATGATACTGGCCTTTATTATTTACGATTTATTTCTGATATTTTAGATTAAGTAAATGGATTTATATTATGGTGTTTCTATACCAACAAAAACTCAAATACATTTTACAGTAGCCTATGTATTGCCTACCTAAAACATCCATTAATACATTTTTAGTCCTTCAAAATAGAAACTACATACAGTGCCTTGCAAAAGTATTCATCCCCCTTGGTGTTTTTCCTATTTTGTTGCATTACAACCTGTAATTAAAATGGATTTTGGGGGGGGTTTGTATCATTTGATTTACACAACATGCCTACCACTTTGAAGATGCAAAATATTTGTCATTGTGAAACAAACAAGAAATAAGACAAAAAAAACAGAACTTGAGCGTGCATAAGTATTCACCCCCCCCCCCCAAAGTCAATACTTTTTGTAGAGCCACCTTTTGCAGCAATTACAGCTGCAAGTCTCTTGGGATATGTCTCTATAAGCTTGGCACATCTAGCCACTGGGATTTTTGCCCATTCTTCAAGGCAAAACTGCTCCAGCTCCTTCCGCTGGTGTACAGCAATCTTTAAGTCATACCACAGATTCTCAATTGGATTGAGGACTGGGCTTTGACTAGTCCATTCCAAGACATTTAAATGTTTCCCCTTAAACCACTCAAGTGTTGCTTTAGCAGTATGCTTAGGGTCATTGTCATGCTGGAAGGTGAACCTCTGTCCCAGTCTCAAATCTCTGGAAGACTGAAACAGGTTTCCCTCAAGAATTTCCCTGTACTTAGCGCCATCCATCTTTCCTTCAATTCTGACCAGTTTCCCAGTCCCTGCCGATGGTGTTCTCAGGGTGATGAGAGGTTTGCGCCAGACATAGTGTTTTCCTTGATGGCCAAAAAGCTCAATTTTAGTCTCATCTGACCAGAGTACCTTCTTCCATATGTTTGGGGAGTCTCCCACATGCCTTTTGGCAAACACCAAACGTGTTTGCTTATTTTTTTCTGCCAACTCTTCCGTAAAGCCCAGCTCTGTGGAGTGTACGGCTTAAAATGGTCCTATGGACAGATACTCCAATCTCCGCTGTGGAGCTTTGCAGCTCCTTCAGGGTTATCTTTGGTCTCTTTGTTGCCTTTCTGATTAATGCCCTCCTTGCCTGGTCCGTGAGTTTTGGTGGGCGGCCCTCTCTTGGTAGGTTTGTTGTGGTGCCATATTCTTTCAATTTTTTTTTATGGATTTGATGGTGCTCAGTGGGATGTTACATTTTTTTTTAGAACCCAACCCTGATCTGTACTTCTCCACAACTTTGTTCCTGACCTGTTTGGAGAGCTCCTTGGTCTTCATGGTGCCGCTTGCTTGGTGGTGCCCCTTGCTTAGTGGTGTTGCAGACTCTGGGGCCTTTCAGAACAGGTGTGTATATATATACTGAGATCATGTGACACTTAGATTGCACACAGGTGGACTCTATTTAACTAGTTATGTGACTTCTGGAGGTAATTGGTTGCACCAGATCTTATTTAGGGACTTCATAGCAAAGGGGGTGAATACATATGCACGCACCACTTTTCCGTAATTTATTTTTTATAATTATTTTGAAACAAGTAATTTTTTTCATTTCACTTCACCAATTTTGACTATTTTGTGTATGTCCATTACATGAAATCCAAATAAAAATCAATTTAAATTACAGGTTATAATGCAACAAAATAGGAAAAACGCCAAGGGGGATGAATACTTTTGCAAGGCACTGTAAGTATCTGATAATCTACCATTTTTATAGGAGTGGTTAAAACATGTTAATAACGGTCCTCTGAGTACATCAACAAAGGTTTGGTATACCGCAACTGGTATGCCATCCAGCCCTGGAGTTTTCCTGGACTTAAAGGCTGTAATAGCATCCAGAAGTTCCTCCTCTGTAATTTGGCCTTCACATGAGTCTTTCTGTACAGCTGTTCATTTTACATTATTAATAGAAAAAAAGACATACAATTCACTTCAGGTTGTGGAGAATGAAACGAAAACATATGCTTAAAGTACTTTGCTTCCTCTTTCAAAATATTGTTTAGTGAATCATGAGTGACTGTCATTTGTAACAAGTTTCAGTAAATTATTTTTGGTAGCATTTCTATGTTGAAGATAAAAAAGGAATTTGGGCCATTTTTCCCCATATTCCATCCAGTTCGCTTTATTTTTATAATATATTACATTTGATCTTTCTTGAATAAGTTCCTCCATTTCTTTTTGTTTTTCCTCTAACTTATTCTGTGCCTATATGGTAAATTTTTTTATTGCTATTTATCTGTACTGTTAGTCCTTCTATTTCCTTTGTTAATATGGACTCTTTTGACCTAAATTGCTTTTGTTTTAGAGATGAGTGTTGAATTGCATGGCCTCTAAAGGCACATTTAAAAGTGTCCCATACAATAAGGGGATCTATGTTATGTTGGAAAAAGTCAGTTATAAATTATTCTGTCCTAGTTAAAAACAAGTTATCATCCAATAGGCTTTAATTACATTTCCAATATCCTCGTCCACGTGGAAATTCTGTAAGAGTAATATATATGCCAATTATTTGATGGTCCGACCGCATTCAGTACCCTATCAAAACTTTAAAAACTTTTGGTGCCAGTGAGAATGACATAAGAACGCAGTCAAGACGACTAGCTTGATTGAGCCTCTGCCATGTACTGTATATCTCACTAGGTCAGGATGCTTAAGCCTCCATATATCCACTAGTTCCAATATATCCCTGATATTCGTGATTTCCTTAAGTGCATGAGGGTGATAGTTTGTAGTGTGATTTCCTTTACGGTCCATTGAGGTATTTAAAACCGTATTATAGTCTCCCACCATAATAGTAGTGTCTTGTATTGCTTGTAGGTTTGATAAATTATTATGTATACTTTCAAAGAAGCGTGGATCATCATTATTTGGACCGTATGGATTAATGAGCCAAATCTGTTTGTAAAATATTTAAAATAATCCATCTACCTTGCGGATCTGTTTGGACAATTTACGTTGACAAATTATGTTGAAACAACGTTGATTCAACGAGTGTGTGTGCCCCCAATGGGTAGTTTATTATAGTTTGGCAAGTGTTCATTTCAACTACTACACTGATAGCAGCCAGTGTTCAGTGAGATACAAAGTGTGTGATTGTTGTAAAACAGGGATTGGAAGCCTCATACCCTCTGCATTCAGGACAAGTCGGTATGTGTCTAGTCTTGTAGAAGTGGTGCAGAATGAGTGTTCTGGTTGGAGTGGTGTGAGGGGATGTGGTTAGATGTAGATTGTTCAAGCTGTGCAGAAGTATAAGATCATCAACACTGTTCTCACTTTTCTCATGTGCAAATTAACATGGGGGTGTAGGGTACCTTCATGTAAATTCATCTTTAACTTGTAATGTCAAGGGTTGTGCATGTAGATGACTAACTGGCATGGTATGCTTCTCTGTTAGAATTGACATTAAAACATGGAAATGTTTGTCTGACATTTTCTTCCTCTTTATCCAAGAGGCAATAAACAAGTATCTTATCAAACTGTAAACACCACTGCCTTTCAAAGTTGAATGCAATCAGGATGAAAGGATGCTATGAAGGATCAAATGATGGGGGTGGATGGTATTTCACATAAGGCCAAACAATTGTATGTGTGCATAGAAGCGTAACTTCACATGCTAAAATAGAGATAAGGAGTTTCACTGAGTGCTTGTTCATTGTTCACTGTCTACGATCTGTGTAGAATACATTACTAAAGCCTTTTACACATTATCTTAATATTTTGGAGAACTTCTTGCTATTCTTAGAGTTAAGCTCATTCCATACTCAGAATAGAAGGTAAAGGGTGGAGTGAACAGTACGGTATGTATGTATGTCACTTTTCACCCTCCCGGTCATTAGTACAGTCACTTTGTAAAATAATGATTGGGGTTTTCCAGACTCTTATTAGAAGATGTGTCTGACTGGGTTGGTATTTTTTGTTGTTGAGACGAACATCCTCATTGATTCCAGTGGTGTGTATTTGTTATGACAACAGACAACACTGGTATCAGACACCAAATTAAAGCGTTAGAGCAGAGCTTTATTTAAGTTGGCCTCAGGGGCTTTCTCGACCTGTTATGACGTGCGTGTGCGATCATGAGGCTGTGGCGGCGCAAGCAGCCAATACTGTCACTGACAATCTAACCACATTGAAAGTGTCTAAAAGTCCCTGTGACTTCACCATTCTACTTCCTGTGTTTACAGTACCAGAGGATGCCTCGCCTCTTCTGCACCTGTCAGATCTTCCAAAACTGACACTGTTGCTGTGGAAACAGTGATGAAGTGATAGAAAAGGGAGGCGAGGAGGATTCCCCAACAGACAGAGCCCTGCCAGGAGCCTGGAAGGAGGACACCTAGACTACTTAGAGACACTGACAGAACTGAGGCAGGAAGCCACACTGAGCTAAGGACCAGCAGTATGGACCAGCAGCATGGAAAAGTGGAGCGCTTCCTCAAGCTGGGCTACTCCCACAGTGACATTGTGCGCGTGCTGGAGAGCCTGCACCATGACGCCCAGACCAACGACATACTGGAGGAGCTCATCAAGACCTGCCATACCACCACTACCACCAACCCATCCACATCAGCCAGCCGCTCAGCCTACTCCAGGATACAGCTGATACCCAGAGGCTGCAGCTCTCCCCAGCCCAGCCAGCCCCTGCGGCCCAGCTCAGCTCCAGACAGGGATCCCACTGGGGGATTCAGAACGGTGGTCATTGATGGGAGCAATGTGGCCATGAGGTGAGTGTACTGATCCTTCATTTAGGACTATAGGAATTGTAGCATTAGATGGATAAAGACAGAGTACTGGATGAAATGCTGGCACTAATGAAGGTAATGCAGGTACTAATGAAAAAAACACAACAGCACATAGGGATTTATCTGGTCACGGATAGTACCTGTATTGTCACGGTACATTGCCCCCATTGTCTACTGTAAACACAACAGGTGGCTCAACTCATAGAGAGCATATGAAGTAGTACATCAATTTTCCTATCATTTTTACTTTATGCGGCTACCTGACTTGTCCCATTCTTGGCAGATGCTACCCACTGAGGTATAAAGAACGGTGTTACCATTGCGTGCCAGTAACTGAATGCTATATCCACTCCAGTTTCACTTCACAGACCAAATCATCTCACGCTTCCTCATTAATAGAGAGGGAAGTGAGAGTGGGCGATGCTTTATCTCTGTGGTGAATTTCAGAAGAATCTGTGGTGGCTGGCAGGTGACCAGAGGTGTATGAGGGGATGACCCTTGCCTTCAACATGAATAACTCATATTCAGATGCAATTGCAATTGGCAATCGATCAATAGCAACCGATATGCTATAACAATAGTGAAAAAGAACAAGCTAAAAAATACTCTGAAATAATCAACAGGTGATGGAGGGGGGGATGAAACTATAGCAGAAACTTCTCATAAATCTGATAATTGTTTCCGACACAGATCACGTGTCTCGAATTAGAGCTGCTTTTTGGGGGGACTGTTGCTGAAATTTGAAGGTTTCTACTTCTCAGGCACAGTCACTCCTCTCATACTCAACTCTTTGCCAGAAAACTCAGTGACTGTGCAGTTTGCTTACAAAGCAACCTTTTGATTACTCAAGTCCTGAATTTCCTTGTCCCTAAAGGTCTCTGTCTGACTGGAAAAATTGTTTTAACCCAAAACACTGCCTCAACTTTCTAAGTAAAGGACATCTTTCTACTAATCATTGTGTATTTTCTATAACTTCATTGTTGTGCTATTGTCGTTGGTGAGTTTGGTGCCCCATTGGTTTTAAAAGGCAATGAGGTAATTTGTTTGGTGCAAAGCTGCTTACCACTTCCTGATAGTTGAGTGCTCTATTTACTGCTGCCTGTAGGCAAATTATCCACACCCAGTGAGCTGCTGTCAGTCAGGCCCTGTGAGGCCTCCGCACAACAGATCTTAGACCTATCTAATGTTCTGATGGAGACATCACGCCACTACTATACCGGATGCTGCAGCTCACATCGGTCATACAAGGTTAAATAAGTGTAACATATCTTCTCCAAGCTTTTCTATCAGTAAACAAGAGATCCGAAGAGTAGTGTTGTTGAAGCAGCACACAGAGATTCTGAGACTTCCTGTTATTCCAGTTTATAGTCATTTGGGGAGAGGTTTTCCCTTAAGACTGGTTTCTGGGGTTAAAGGACGCACAACAGTCTCTTTGCTGTGGTTCTGCAAATAAGTTCACATGAATTGGAGTAGTTGAGGCACACGGCTAACAGGCTTTCTGAAAAGGGAAAAGAGATGTGACAGCTGTTTAGAAGTGAAAAAAGGAAGCTAATTTTCACATTGTGGCCCCTGTCTTTGCAGCCATGGCAACAAGCAAGTGTTTTCATGCCGGGGGCTGCTGTTGGCAGTCAGGTGGTTTCTGGAGAGGGGTCTTCGTGACATCACCGTGTTCGTGCCCCTGTGGAGGAAGGAGCAACCCAGTCCCGAGGCACCCATGACAGGTAGGACACACACCTGTTATACTGTCTGGCTAGAGCTAGATGGCACTGTGGAGCTACAGGTCACCAACACACTGAGATCCTACAATCCCTTACAAAAAAGATTGCAGTTTTGAAACTGCAGTAAAAGTGCGGTTACTGCAGTCGACTGTGGTATTTTGCAGAATAACTGCAGTTGAACTGCAGTTATACTGCACTGTAGCTGCAGCTACACTGCAAAATTACTGCAGTACAAAAAAAAGTGTTATTTTGGATGCTGTATTTGCAGCATATTGCTGTCATACTGCACTCTGACTGCAATCTGTTTTCGTAAGAGACATATTAATGGTCCAGGTTTCATTCTTCTTTATGGTCTTTTATAACTGAGAATTGTTGTTTACACCATGTCTTCGTACCAAATGGCACCCTTTTCCCTTTGTTGTTCACTACTTTTGACCAGGGCCCATAGCGCTTTGGTCAAAAGGCTCTGGTCAAAAGTAGTGCACTATATAGGGAAAAAGGTGTCATTTGGGACACCGACCATGTCTTGTTAATGGTTGACATATGATTCATCAACTCTGTAGAACCCTAACCTCTCGTCATGTGGCCCTGCAGATCAGCACATCCTCCATGAGCTGGAGAAGAGGACGATCCTGGTGTACACCCCGTCACGCTGCGTCAACGGGAAGAGAGTGGTGTGCTATGACGACCGCTACATCATCAAACTGGCCTACGAGTCCGATGGCATCGTTGTGTCCAATGACAACTACAGAGACCTGCAGATAGAGAAGCCAGAGTGGAAGAAGTTCATAGAGGAAAGGCTGTTGATGTACAGCTTTGCAAATGACAAGTAAGTCTCAACACTGAATCTCTCAGCAAAGATCTATGAGGGTACCTGATGCAGGGCCTATAAGGAGGATATAAATCGTTTTAATTGGGGTTGGGGACAGGGATACAGTATGAGAGATGGTACTGTATATCACCAGTTCCACCACCTACAAAATCACCCCTGCTTGTAAACATATAATACATCTGTAATAAAGGCATGACTTCAAGAGTTTTGAGCATCATGCTTACATCATATTTATATTACTTTATATTCAAGGTTCATGCCTCCAGATGATCCTCTGGGAAGGAATGGCCCAACGATTGACAACTTTCTGAGGAAAAAGCAGTGGACCCCAGAAAACAAGCAGCAGCATTGCCCATATGGTTGGTAGATATTTTACAATACACACTTTTATTTTCAGTTTCCTTCCTCATTTATCTGGTGGTTTTGACTGTAACACATCCAATGTGAGCCAGCTGAGCAGGATTTGATTTGCAGTTTGTGATTAGCAGTTGGGTCAGTTGGGATTTCATTTGGTTGCCTGTCAGTTGGCTGTTGGCAATGAGAGAGCAGCTCCACTCCAAGGCCACAGCACACACCCAGCACCACTCACAAACAAAAGGCCTTTTTATCAACACCCAGGATAATTGCTTTAGAGCAAACGGCAGGCCTGGGATTATTCCTGTCAGAGGAGTACAAAGGGCCCTCATAGCACTCCACCGTTTACCTAGGGGAACAAAAATAGGCTGGAGACTAGACCTTATTTTTGTTTGCCTTGCTAAGTGTGTTTAGAGTACTGAAGAAGGGGGGAGAGGGCTTTACAGTGCACTCAGACACACATCCTTGTTGACAGTCTTTTTAAAGAGATACATGGTACATCTGCGAGCCATGTTTTGAAAGCCCATAAATATTCCTTATTTGTTTCTTTCCAGGAAAGAAGTGTACTTACGGAGTGAAGTGCAAGTTCTACCACCCAGAGCGCTCCAACCAATCACAACTGTCTGTGGCAGACGAGCTGAGAGCCAAGAGAAAACCTACTGCTCAAACAGACAGGGAGCAGTCATTTCTCCCCTCAGGCCCCAGTCCTGCTCTGATCCAGGGAGTCAGCCAGGAGGCCCACCCTTACACATCCCCTTATGAGCCGGATCTAACTACTACTCATCTATACAGATATCTATCCACACCGCCTCCCCTTATAAAAGAGGACCATTCCCATAGGGCTTCGCCTAGCGATCAGTTCACCAGCCAGAGAGAAACAGGCAGCCCAGCTCTACACCACAAGTCCAGCCTCCGCCTCTGCCCCAGCCCAGACACTGACGAGGCCTTCAGCTCCCTGGAAGCCTCCCTGTCCAGACTCTATAACCAGGACCAGACCAACAACACCAAGGGGCTGGTGGTGTCCTACACCTACAGCAGTGGGGTGGCCAGCTGCAGCCAGGGCAGTGGAGACTTCTACCCTTCCAGCACTTCCAGCAGCCACAGCCACGCCAGCAACCAACAGAGGCTCAGCCACAATGCCCCCCAAAAACTGCCACTGTGTGGCTGTGACGACTCACAAAGCTGTGAGTGTAGCCAGTGCATGTACAGCCACCAGCATCTCCAGCCACAGCTAGGAGAGTGCTCCTATGCTGTTCACAGTAACCATATCCATTTCACAGAGCAGCAGTATTTCCAGAGTCCTCCTCCACAAAGGCAGAGTCACAGCCTCCCAGAACACAGCCTGGGACAGGGCCTCTCTGGTGAGAGAGTGGGGATGACCAGGTCCAATGGAGGTAAAGCTCCAGATAGTGAGCAGAGGAAGAGTGTGAAGAACCAGCTCAGCACCCTCTTCCCCCCCAGCATAGTAGACTATGTGATGAGTCTGTACCCATACACCCTCAACATGTCAGAGCTAGTGCCTCTGATTCAGAGGTTCAGAATCAGCCACATTCCCTTCTAACATGCAAGACCTGTGATCCTTTCTCTGTAAGCATTAAACACAGTAGTCCTCAGCAGACTAGAGGAGAAAAGCTTGAAATGTAGCAATCTGAGCTGAATTTGTTATGTATGCACAAGTCAAGTGCAATGCACTGCTGTCTCCTGAATGATGCTAGTTCATTTTGAATCTAGCATTGACTTAAATATAATTAAAGCAGCATGTGTTGTTTTATTATGTAGCCTCAAACTGAGGGAAGCTATAAGACAAAATGGATGTTGACCTGTATGGTATGCAGAATAATAGTGTCCTTGTCATGTTTCTTATCCATATTAAACATAAGTCATTGGCAATTGTCTGATTATCCTTCTCATTTACACTGCCAAGCTGCCTGCACTTTATCATATCAACTATTTTAGGTCTCTACTGCCATCTATTGGAGTGAGGAGAAATTACCCAAGACAATTGTCATCACATCACCGCAAGCCAACAACCAATGGAATGGAATCAACAGGTGGAATATCCAGTAAGAAATCCAGAATTTCAGAATAGATTTATTTTTATTTTTTACAAATAACTTATCTGTTACAAAGACAGTTTTCCCAGCTAAAATCAAAAACACTTTAGATATCCAAATTAGTTTTATTTATTTATTAATAAAACATGTATGAACTGACTCTTCACACCAAGCTTTGCAGAGAACGCTGAAAACTGGGTTTCTTTGGGGTGTTTACAGGAAAAAATATGACATAAGTGCTTAAGAGAGACAACAAAGAATTTAGCTTCTACCTAATCGTTTTTTAACAATATACTAAGCTTTGGTTTAAAAAATAATAATCATCTTGATTTGTGACTGCATAGATAATCAATGCAAATGCCATTCTAAGGCATTAATGTAAGGCAACGTGAAAAACTTCACAAAGAATAATAAACTATTCCACAATTAAGGTAAAATCATTACAATGGTAAACTTTTAAACCATCCTCATCAAACAAAAGCTTCACAGGACAAATTAAACCAAATAAAAATAAGCTACAAAGAGGACAGTCACCATTTTGTCTCACTTTATTAGAAATATAAAGATGGCACTGTCCTTGTCTTTTTTTTGGAGGATATATTCTAATCTTCTGGCCAGGAGGAGATATGGTGAGGCACATACCTATATAAATATCTGCTGATTTGAAACTGGAATACTTTAAAACATATTAATCCTGATCTTTGGAACACTCTAGAAAACCCCATTTATACTGCATAGCAAAATACTCTGATTCTGAAAGCCCTCAGGAAACAGTCACCTTCCACCAAGCTGTACATGGACAACACCTTAATACAATTGCCAAAGTATTTTCATCCATCTGACTCGAAAGCTTCTATTTTGATGCAAGTTTTAGGATGAACTGAAAAATTCATGGGCCTCTTGACGCTGAGGTGTAAAAGTCCCCAAATATTAAACCTACATTCCAGTTGTCAGATAAGATGGCATTCTGCTTTTGAGCTTTTTTCACCAGTCCAAGAGCTCAGGCATCCTAGAAAACTTGTCCATCTTTTGATTTTGCTGCATCTGCAGATCGTACACGGAAATTGTGCATTTACACAAGCGATGAACAGACTGAGTGGACGAAGCTTCATGACTGAATAGTTTTCATACAACTGCTCCCCTTTTTACGCAATACTTAAATTCTCACACAAATCAAGTAAAGAGCTTAAAAGGGACACCGTGCTTATTGGTTTGAAAGAAAATGGAAACAAAAGACAAAACAAAGTTAATAAAGTCTATAACGCTATACTTACAGGAAATACAAGTGTTTCATAGTGTGAGGAAGAAGGCATTTAAGGCACATATTATTATTCTAAAATTATGTACAGTAAAAAGCTCAAGGGTATTTCCTCCCTCCATGTACTGTACACATAAAGCATGCAATTTATTTTCCGTTATTTGTACTGTAGATTGAAGAGATTGATAAGGGCCACTACAGGGGAGAACAAGAGGCACGTTTTGGTGGCAGTATTAACACTGCTAGTTTCCCCCAGTCATCCTATAGAAAGAGCAACCAAACAAATAGTCCACAAGTAGTCTTGTTAGTTTTCCCTTCAGGTGTGAGGTGACGGCTGAACAAAGTTCCCATTCCTGATTAGGCCGTCGCAGAAGAAGAAATAAATCAGCAAAGGCAAATTGGCACCCATGTTGGTTTTCGTGTGTGTGTGTGCCCCCACACTGCAGGACACTGATAATACTGTATAAGGAAGCAGTGAGGCATCCCCAGGGGTAAAGTTTCCCGTGGAGCGTTGAGCAGGAGGGAGGGAGGGGGGGGGGGGGGTGACCCCACGCATGCAGACACTCCAAGGTGAGGTATCATCCAACTCTGCTGGCTAAGTAAAGTAACACAACCTGTAAACACTATCCAGTCAAGCCTTCAGTGGACAGCATTCTACTAACCTCAGAGGAGGGGGGAAAAGAAACAGGACCAAAATGGAAAAAAACTACAAACCCTGTCCGTTCATTTTCTTACTACTAGCAAAAGAAAGAAACAACTTTTCTAATCTAGTTTCTTTGACTCTCATAGAAAAGTGGAGCGAGGTGTTGGGTATTGTCGGCGTCTTTGTGGCTCAGAAGTGCCGTGGAAACTCGCACTGTTCACAGCGGTTGAGGGCGGGGTGGTTGAGGAAGGTGCAGGCCGTGCAGCTCCACTGCGTCCCCTCGTCTTCCTCCTGGTCTGCTACAGTCTTTACGCTCTTACTGCTCGACTCTGGATGGAGGGAGGGAAGGAAAGAGGGAGAGAGAGAGGAGTTAGTCACCCAACAGACTACAGAGATAAACAGACACACAGGCAGCTGCAGGCAATGAACATCAATCAATGTGGGGTCAGACTGTCAGCGGCGAATCAATGTGTCAGTCAATGTGCTGGTTTGTTTTCTGCAATAAAACTGGCATTTTTTCACTGCACCACTGATGGATTGAGTTGGCAGTTGTTGGTAGTTGCTGAATCACTGTGGTTCTTTCACCCTCCAGGATGTGTATTGCACAAGAAAATGATTGTTCAGTAAAAAGCTGAGGGATGGGCCTGGAGAAATACAACCACTCTCAAATTCATAGACAGAGCTATGGATGCAAGGACTGACCATTGATGACATCAAAATGATTGTTTTAACCATGTTTTGAGGCTATAGTGTTTGTTTACATGTACTTTGTTTACATTGGAGTAAAACAAGCTTATTTTTGGGTTCTGATGGGGTACGACAGTTGAACTAAGCTCCTGAGGCATTTATAAGTTATATTCTTCAATAATCAATGGGTACATATCATTAGTTTATAAGTCAAAAAATGGATGTAGCAACTGCAGATTGCCCTTTTAGTGCTAAGAAAGTATCAGAGTGCGTAGAGAATCCTGTCACATGTTCAAATAACAACAACAGGCAAACCTCTCATCAACAAATGTGCTGAAGGGATGACTCAAGTTATTTTCTAGGGGTCAATGGTGCTTTCTAAGTATGAAATGGCAAAATGTTATCTAAAGGTCCTCTGTTGTAAGATCGTTATGGTGTGCAGGGTGGGAGGACAGAACTGACCCAGTATGAAGGAGGGAAGGGGAGAGACAGAGGGACAGACGGACAAACAGACAGAGCTACAGGTACCAACCCAGGGGGAGAGCAGCAGGGGGAGGAGGGGCAGAGGAGGGCTCCATGGTTAGCGTGGAGGTGACATGAAATGTTCTTCTGTCTGTCCCCTGACCCTCTGGCTCTGACAGGTCCCAAGCACAGGATGGAGGGAAGGAATGAAGCAAGAGATGGAGGAGAGGAATGGCATGAAAACAAAGATGATATATGCAGAGGTGAAAACACCAATAATGGCAGGTTTTACAGATACAGAATGAAAACACTTAGGATGAAGGTAGCATATGTGAGGAGAACCATTTAATCAATGCAGACTTTACCCAGATAGACAGAAATAAACACCTGATAGAAATACAGATCTAAAGCCCCATTACCAATAGATATTCATAGTTGACTAAGTTTAACACCAAGAAATTAGAGAGGGGAAGTGGAAGCAGAAGAGGGTCAGGTTGTCCAGAGGTGACCATGCAACCTTTCCTAAACTTACCAACACATAAAGTACCTTTGGGTTTGGGTGGGACAGGACCTAGGAATCCAATGTTGTCATAGAAGTTATGAATGGCACTGGGATTAAAGTGTGGTCCTACGACAAACAGGACAGAGACATCATAAGCAAAACTGAAATAGTGAGCATAAGTATGCATAGCATACGAACATACACGCAACAGTCACACATACAGCAACAACTGAGTATGAGTCACAGACCAATAAAGCAAGGGACTGCAGTCTAACACACAAAGACAAATAAAGAACTCAGAAAACAAAGCCATAACTCTTTACTCTTCACAAATCCGTCTATTGAATAGAAGCCATATTCAATTCTGAGCCACCTTTCTTTCTCCATTCCCCTGTGTGACTGTGCTAGCTGGTGTATGAATCCTGTCAGCCGTGGAGAGCAGCCAGGGGGGCTATAAATCCCTTGTTACCAACCAGCAACAGGATGCAATTCAGGAAACAACTGGTAGTTAACATTACAATGGCAGCACCTTGACTGCGTGTGCCGAGGGGATGTGACCAGACCAGGCCTGGCAGAGGCAGACAGACCTACTACTGTACAGCTGTCCTGGACACAGGTCATGTTCCCCACTCTGTTATATTCCACATTAGTTTCCCCTCTCTGACTCTCTCTCTCTCTACAGAGCTACCCATCATAACATATAGAAAATCGACTAAACATGAAACATGAGGACCGGGCTATCCGAAGTAGGCGATCTAAAAGCATCACAAAGAGTGCATGTTAAAACACCACGAACACACTGGACGTACAGCACACGTATACACACCACACAGGCAGCTGGTGTCACATTCATCACAACACTGACAAGCACGTTGACAAAGCACACCCTCAAAACCAACCGAGCCTCCTACCTCTTGTTTGAAGGAGATCGATTTCTTTGGTTAAAAGGTCAATGTCGATCTGCAGTATCCTGTTTTTGCATCGCAACTGCTGCATTTCCTCAATCTGATAAGAGAGAAGGAAACAGGGTCATAAAAACAGCCAGTGACAGACAGACAGACAGACAGACAGGCAGACAGACAGACAGACAGACAGACAGACAGACAGACAGACAGACAGACAGACAGACAGACAGACAGACAGACAGACAGACAGACAGACAGACAGACAGACAGACAGACAGACAGACAGACAGACAGACAGGCAGGCAGCAGCATGGTCTGCTGAAGAGACACAGTGGAGGAGTAGAGAGACTGAGAGCCTCGGCACATGCTGTACTGTACTGACACAAAACACAAGCCTGTAATAAGTCAATGGAGGTGCATGGAGCCAAGTGGGTTAACAGTGTCAGGGGGAGAGTTATCTCCAGATCTCCCTGGCCTAGTGAATACACAGAATACACGACACAAGAGCTACTGAGTTCAACTCCAGGCTTTTAACTTCCACGTCCTCTTTTTCCTGCCCTGACTAACACACAGTGATAGTTGACAAAAACAGCTGATTCAACAGAAAACTCAGAGCACCACTTGATTTGCGGTCTGATGTAGTTCAACAAACTCACAGCTGCATGCTTAACATAAACCTGACATTGGGTGAAAAAACGAGGAGGAAGTGTGTGTGTTTTATGAATTGCCCCAAAGAATCATGGTTTCCTTAGAAAATACACCATGGGACTCAGGAGCGAATTGTCAAGTCAAATTGCCATGGACCTTTACTAAGACTGACCAATGTGTAAAACATGACAAACCCATTTATGAAGATAATATGTAGTAAACAAAAATGAAATGCGTGAATACAGTTACTGCACAAGGAACGGAACATTGATGTTCTAGTCGTTGTAGTATCCGTCTGTGGGAGAGTAGTGTCTGTGGGGACTTACCGAGGGAATTTGGGACTGGGAGTTGGATCGTTCTAGCCGTCTCCTGGTCAGGTCGTTCTCCATCTCGTTGACCTCCTCTTTTAGCTTCTCCAGCTTCTTCTTCTTCAAGTCCAGCTCATGCCACAGCCGGTCCATACGGGCCTTCTGGTGAACCAACAGGGCTGCAAGATACATAGTACACATTAACACTGTGACAATGTGACATGGGGACAGACTGATGGCTTCTCTCTGACAGCTGAAGTAGACGCTTACAGTACAGGCTGATGGTGTGTTTGAAGAACCACAAGAGCAAGATACATTTCCCTTTAGGAAATAACGCTACGTGCGGTGGGCTGAGTAAGAATCATACAGTAGCATAATCATTCTTCATTTCATGGCCTACTTTAGAAAGGGATTTTGGGGGAGTGAACAATGATCCTGGGAAAAACCTTGCTTAAAACGCTTCATAGGAAGCGTTACATTGTCTTATAACGCATTGATAACATACTATATGCTATGCGGAAATTTATTCATTCCCTACACAGAAAGGCCAAAGTAAACTACAAACACAATACCCCCCAACACTCAGAAGTAGGCTTTGTGTTTTTCCAGGCAGCAGCACCCCCCAAGGCCAAGCAGAGCTGGGAGTGGCATTCGAGCAAGAGAGGAATGCATGGAGAGGGCTGCAGTGAAAGATAGGGGACAGAAGTCTCAGGCTCAGGTCCGGGGAGAGAGAGGAGAAGCCCCACGGTAGTCGCAGCAGCGAGTGAGCGTCTATCAAAGGCCACAGGCACTGACTCACACGTAATCCAGTCAAAAGTCCAAAAAAGGAAACGCTGCGCTCCAACACATTTGACTCACATTGCCCGCAGTCAAAGGGCAGTCTGCGCAAACCCAGCATTATTGCAGCTGACTCATGCTCCAATCACACCCCTCCCTATGCGAGTCACCTTTAACAATTCATCTACTCCCTCAAATCAGGCTTAGATGAAGCAGGGTTTTAAGACCAAGAGGATTTTAATGAGACAAACGTCTACACAATTTGGCTTAAAAAATGCATTAGTGTCAATATTATGGAAATCCGAGTTAAAACCAGGCATAAACGATACGCTAGAGTCAAATTACTTTCTTGGCAGAACGCAGTGGAAAAAGCATTTACTACTGGTGGACAAAAATGCATACTATTCCTTATTGTTGTGAGGGATAGTTACTCTGAAAAGTTCCTGCAGGCTCTTTCAACCATTGTACTGTGTAAGTGGATGTTATGTCTCTTTGGGCACTTGACTTTTGTTGCACAACTTATTTGTCATGTGATTGAGGGATACCATAGTTCAACCTAACAATTGCACAACGAACTGTATCCGGATGTGTGTTTGTGGGTGAGTGTCTATACTTCCTAATGATAGACTGTGACCGTCGACAAAGCAAAGCAGCTAACAGATAACCCTGATCCGGTCTCACCTTGTGTGTATGCTGCGTCGTCTGAACCCATGCTGAGACTGCATGGCTCGCTGGGCCTCTCCCTGTGTGCAGACAGCGGGTCTGAGAGATGATGGGGCTCCGGCTCCACAAAATGGTGGTCCGAGGGGAGGCTAAGAAGATTAGTGGCCTCAAAGGTAGGGGAAACAACGCCAGGGGACACTGCTGGGGGCTTGTTGGGGGACACTGTGATTTTGAAAGTGTACTTGGTGTTGGGCTGGGTGACCACCACTCGGGGCGAGGTGGCCGTGCCTCCCCCTCCCATAGACGCACGGGACTTGGGTGGGTGGTGGTGGATGTAGGCGGGGCCCATGCTCACCTGGCCCCCCATATTCCGGGCCCCCTGGGACCCGTGCGGAGGAGGCTGAGCAGAGATGTAGACGGTTGGAGGGTTTCTGCCTCCACCATCATCGTTATTAGCAGTAATGTAAAACTTGGGTTGGGAGCGAGAGCCGGATGGGGCCATGACGGCCTCGTCAGAGGGGGTTGTAGTAGCAGAGGTGGGCGGGCTGGCAGAGATGTAAACAGTGGGCTGGCTGCGGCTCAGGCCCGGGCCTCCGATGGACAGGGGGGTAGTGGTGGGGCCAGGGGCTGCCCCGACAGAGGAGGAGGATGACGGGCAGGAGGAGGAGGTGGAGGAGTTGGAGCGGGGGCTGCTGCTGGTGCGCAGCATGGCCGTGGTCGTGGTGGAGTTGCTCCTCTGAGGAGATTCAAGTTTGATCTCTATCTGGTTCTTGCGCGGTCCGGTGGAGATGTTCTGGATGTTGTACTGGCTGAAGGAGGACATGCCGGAGGGCATAACCGAGGACGAGGCACCAGAGGAGGAGGTCTGACCTCCAGAGGGGGCCTGGAAGATGGAGGAGGGGGCCTGTGGGTTGGTGGGGGAGCTGATGGGCATGTAGACATGGGAGGTCTGGTGGCCCTGTGACTGGTGCTGTGAGGTATGTGAGGAGCCGTGTTGGTGCTGCTGGGAGGAAGGGCCTGTCCAGGAGCCAGGCAGTGAGGAGGGATGGGAGATCTGGTAGATCTGCTGCTGGGCCTGGGAGGTGGGGCTGTACTGGGCCCTACCCGCCTGCTGCTGCTGGCTCTGCCGGGTCGTACCGCCGGGCTGGGTCACGTAAGGCCTGATGTAGATAGAGTTACCCTGTGGACTGCTCAGGCCGGACTGTGTATGGGGCCCGCCGTGTATGTGCAAAGAGGTGGGGGTGTTGCGACCCGTCTGGATGTTGGGGGCCAGGGTGACGGTGATGGGGTTGAAGCGGGGCGTCTGCTGGCCATGCTGGCCCATGGACTGTCCTTTGCCCCCCAGCTGGTAGAGTCCCAGGTGCTGGGGCGGCTGGGGCTTGCGCGTGGGCTCCATCACGCCAAACACATTGAGGCTGGAGGGTACCTGCACGGGGGCTGACTGGGGCTCCTGCTGGAAGAAGTCACTGTTGGGGGGCTGTCCTGTCTGGAGGGGCCCGTCGCTCAGGCTGTGGGACAGAGTCCTGCTGCCGTTCATCCTCAGGCTGTCCTGTCCCGGGGCCGCATGCACATTCTGAAACTGAGACTGCAGGCCCAGGTTCAGCTGGGTCATGTGATTGCGGAGCCTGATGAAGCTGGGGTCGTCGGTGTTGTTGAGGTTGCCTCCTTCGCTGTACAAGTAGCCCGGGCTCACCTGAGACAAGTACTCACAACAGGCGTCCAAATTGTTGTTGTTCTGAGGAAAAGACAAGCTTCAAATCAGTCATTTGTGATATATCAGAACAATATATTGTTTTGTAAAACCTATGGATTGGAAAGAAGGATACCCCAGACTCACCTGCAGAACACACTGGGACACAACACCCTCTGGAACTTCAGGGAACTTCTGCCGCAGGTCGTGCAAAACCTGAATGTCAATTTGGTGGCTTCCCTGGGCCATTCGTGTACTGCCAGGTCAGGACTGCTCTGCTCGCTCCGTTCAGCACACTGACGATGCCTCAGTGGTGGCAGCACCTCAGCCACAGCTTGAGCATCTTCTGGAAAACAGATGCTTAGGTTAGTACCCACAGTTGTAACCGAACACACACACACACATAGCAGTTTCTGGTTTCCCGCTATTCCATACTCATACACACCCTCTCTTGGTCTACACAGAGTAAAGAGACAGTGTGTACTGTATTGGTACCAGTCTGTGTTTTGAAAGGATGTTAATGACAAGGTAGGACTATGCGTGATGCAGTGACAAGGAAGGAGGGAGCACAAACTTCATACTGGTGAAAAACACCAGGCAGACATTTTGAGGTTGCCTTTTTCATCATGGTGGGGAGCTTTCAAAACAATATTTCAGAAATCCTTTTAATATAGGAAAGGCATTCATTTCACAGCCCTTCCCCTCCCCAAAAGCCTCTTAATAAAAGAGTAGGAAACCACCTCGGACTATTGAGGAAGCAAAGCCTTTCCAACCAATCTTAACGTCAACATTCTCTTATTAAGGACAGAGCAGACCCAAACAGTAGCTCCCAGTAATGCAGCAATCTGCACATAATCATCAGTTAAGCCCCAAAGTCAATGCCAGCGCTACAGAGGAGCTTTGAGGCAAGCAAAAACACTGCTTTACTTCTGATAGACCAGCATAGAGCACTGAGCAGTAGGGCCACACAGTGTGAATGATGCTGACCCAAGAGCACGGAATTGGGGGTCTTTTTACCCTGGTGAATATTTTAGCCTAGATATACAGAACCAAGGAGAATAGTGGATTTTCATGAGATTAGCACGGTGTATCTTGGTAAATGGCCTATTTCTAACCACACTCATTCAAAACTTCCTCTAGTGGGAGGCTCGGAATATGCCATTCAAAACATTGCGACAGTAGCACACCCTTCTCTATTCTGCTTCTAAACCTGCGCTGTAGGCCCTGAAAAACTTGCAGAGATCAATCCAGTGTGGGTGGAGGATGAGCATCCTGGATTCTCTCAAAGTTATAGGTCCCTTGATGGTAATCCAATCCATCAGATTGGATGTCAGGCCAAATGAAATCCAGAAGCGTCTTAAGGAATATTACACACAAAGTATGATCCTCTGATAAGAGGAGTGAGACATTGCAGCTTCTGAGCACATTACTCCTCTTGTGCCAAGGAGATTACATAGCAAGTAGAAGTGCTGTCTTATCTGAGCTGTGAGCATATGTAATGTCATAACTGAGGAGATGTAAATCTGGATGACAAAACATCCCACCAGAGCTGTTGATAACAGTGGGAGGAGCTACAGGGCTACTGTCAGAAGAGGGAGCCAGCAGCAACAGGCCTCTAGTCCTAACAGGAACGGCCTGAGACTGAGATACCATCTGAAAACTGGCAGGATATTGAATTGGATGATACAATGAAACAACTAGTCTGATCGTGACACACTATTGCAATGTGTCCTCACATGAGAAAAACGTATAAATCATGTTTCAGACAGAGTGAGACACAGAATAACAGAGGCTGGGTACATCATTTTCTTTCTGCCCAGACATTCAAACAGTCATTCAATGCCTTCTTTTGTCCTTTGCAATACAATGAAATTGAAAGTTTTGCAATCATACCACCAAACTGAATAATTAATTTCAGTGCATCAAGAGAGGAGCAAGCAGCATGGAGAGGCTCTCTCTGTAAATGCAAACCAGAGGAAAACAGTTTGCCATATCTCAGATTACAAGTTTAGAGCAAATGTAACCGCCTCCAGTGAAGGGGTCTTGCTCCGAGAGTAGCAGATGAAGCTAATAAGGTCTATGGAAAACAAGGCTTTGTTGTTTCAATCCCCTGAGCCAAAGCTGGGGCTCCTCAACACTACTAACACAAATATACCTGTGTGATGTAGAAACAGGAGTATAGGTCAGCCCAAAGGGCATAGTGGTGAACTCTTATGATCCACCATTCAGGCTCCTCTCGTAGACTGGGCTGCAGGACTAGTCTGTCTGTGGGAAAGGAAATTCACTACTTGGCAACTGATCCAACTACAGCTCAACATTGTGGTTAGAGTTTTTTTTTACCTGCCTTCAAAAACAAAAGGTCCACACTGCACATAAATACAGGCCAAAAAGAAAGGCCCTGGTTTGGCTCAGCCTCACAGTCACTCCCGGGCCTGTGGAAGGAGGGAGGGAGCAAAGAGGGGGCCGGTTCCTTCTGAGGGGGTGGTCATAGGTCCTGAGAGGAGAACTGTGGAACCCGGGGAGATAAATAAACAAAGCTCCCATTGCAGAGCTGTTATTCCCAGTGCCAGAGCACTGACCCGCAGCGGCAGGCTAATTTCTGGAGGTAACAGCCCCTGCCACGCTCTGTCAATGGACTCATTTACTCAGTAGGAGTGGGTGCACCATAAAAATGTCCACTTCAATTAGAGAAAAAATGTAATGTGTATTAACGATCCTTCGGTGGAGAGATTGTAACTGGACACAGTGCTGTTGCAGCATCCCTGACATTAAAAAGCCAAGTCAACTAAAATGTATGTTATGCACACTTATTCTAAACAAACAAGTTGTAGCCTACTTCATCTATGTCATTTATGTTCATTTGGAGATGATGAATGCATCTTTGTTACAACCTGCAGTGTGTTACTTTCCTGATCTAGTGTGTAGCTGCAGTAGGTAAAGTTCACGGCTTCTATAAATGAGAACCTGGAGGGTTGTAGGTCCAAGGTAACCCTATTTGTAGGGATCAGATATCATTATATATGGCCAGCACATTTGAATCTGATTGATAGAAAATAGAGGCCCACTACACAGCCAGCCAGCCAGCCTTTTCCTCATTCGGTCCCAGTGCCAAACACACCTTTCAACACGGCCAGTCCCCTGGGTTAAACCAGCTGGTAGATCTTCTGGCTATGCCATCGATACACCAGGGCCATTACCACAGTGAAAAACCCTATAAATCCCACAGTCTTCAATCAGAGCAGTCCTCTGCAGCGTCAGACACCAGGCAGCAACACAGCTTGGAATGTCTAACTACCTCGCAGTCCGGCGAAATTTAAACAAATAAAGGGACTAATTGGCAGTGGACGCTCTGAGGCCTGCTGCCAGGCACCCCAGTACTCCAGTGTGGCCGCCTTGTACACACACACACAGATATACACACACAAACAGTCACACACACGCACGCTACTGTGCAAACACACATCTGCTGTGGGTCAAGGTACGACGATCCAATCATTCACTTCAATATTTGGGGCAAAGCACAATTGTGAACAAAAGAGTGTTGTCAAATCCTCAAAAGCATCAGTGCTACAAATGAGAGCTTCAAGGCCTCATTCAACAACCCAACATTTCTAACTATCCAAGGGATATTTGAACAGGGGAGAACAAGAAATCCCATTCAAAATACACTGAGTGTACAAAACATCAGGAACTCTTTCCAGGACATAGACTGACCAGGTGAATCCAGGTGAAAGCTATGATCCCTTATTGATGTCACTTGTTAAATCCACTTCAATCACTGTAGATGAAGGGGAGGAGACTGGTTAAATAAGGATTTTTAAGCCTTGAGACAATTGAGACATGGATTGTGCATGAGTGCCATTCAGAGGGTGAATGGGCAAGACAAAATATTTAAGTCCCTTTGAATGGGGTATGGTAGTAGATACCTGGCACACTGGTTTGAGTGTGTCAAGAACTGCAAAGCTGCTGGGTTTTTCACACTCAACAGTTTCCCATGTGTATCAAGAATGGTACACCACCCAAAGGACATCCAGCCAACTTGACACAACTGTGGGAAGCATTGGAGTCAACATGGGCCAGCATCCCTGTGGAATGCTTGACACCTTGTAGTCCATGCCCCAACTAATTGAGGCTGTTCTGAGGGAAAAGGGGGTGCAACTCAATATTAGGAAGGTGTTCCTAAAGTTTTGTACACTCAGTGTATATAAATCAAATTAAGCAGCAGATCATCTGAGAAATATTTGTTCATGTTTAAAATATTTACAAATGAGTCTAATTTTGATGGACCACTTTCAACAGCTTGTCTTAAAGGGTAGGAAGCATGAGTTTTTACTCACCAAAGTAACAACACAGTGTGGTCAAAGACTTAGTAACTTAGTTGTAGTCACGATCTGGTTACCTATAACTACAAACATAGTTATGTTTTTTTTACATATTTGTTAACTTATTTACGGATATCTTAATAATAAATAATAATAATATAATATGCCATTTAGCATATCTTCTAAACTACCCACAATTAGTGTCGTCACGATAACAGAATTTTAACTTCGATACCGATACCAAGTTTAGTATCACGATACTCTATACCATCACGATACTCGATACCAAAACGATACCACCAAAAAAAAGAAGACCCAGTCACAGAATGGCACTTGATCTAGACAGATAATCTTGATCAGACTCAGCTACTGCTCCATTCAATTGTTGGGCATCTTTAGAGTTCAATATCATTACATTACAAAAATTGTATGTCCATTTTTTTGAGACAGCCATGTATGCATTCATTAATAAATTATACAATCAATTTGACTTTGTTTTTACCAATCTAACTACAAAACAACATAATGGTAATCATTTATTTGAATGGTAAATCTCTATTGATGTCACGCCCTGACGTATGGAACTCTTGTTTGTGGAGTAAGGGTGTGTGAATCTATGTTTACTATGTTTAGGATCTAGAGTTGTGTTTCTATGTTTGGCCGGGTGTGATTCCCAATCAGAGACAGCTGTCGCTCGTTGTCTCTGATTGGGGATCATATTTAGGTAGCCCAGTTGCCTACTATGTTTGTGGGATCTTGTTCCGTGTATAGCCTTGGACTTCACGTTACGTTGTTTTGTTTTGTGTTTAGTATTAAATAAACATGTTTGCATACCACGCTGCACCTTGGTCTGACCCGTCTCTCAACGATTGTGACAATTGATAAACTGGGTAAATCAAGATGTAGCTTAGGTATTTTCACAATACAGGTGAATGCATATTATTCAATAGGAATGTGTGCATGCATTGAGTTATTGAGCTTGTTTTAGCTGATTTCATGGGGCTACAGATGACAAACAATCTTTT